AGGAGCATGGGGGGTGTAGCAGGCATGGACTCAGGGCCTGGAGGTGTCCCCTGCCCACTGACTCCAAAAACACAGCTGCAAGAGAGTCTGCAGAGCTGACGCTGCTGCAGACGGTCCTGCCACTGGACCTCGACTCTGTCCTGGGGAAGACAGTGTGGCAGCCCAGCCTGTCCTTCCTGGCCTGCTCCTCTGTCCTGGTCAGGGAACAGGCGCCCTCACTCCAACAGCCCCTGTGCTGGAAGGTCCTGGGGAGAATGTTCCACACAGACTTCCGACCTCGGGTTGGGGCAAGAGGGGCACTGACCCCGGGGCCTCTGGACGCCCCCCAGCCCTGGCGCCCGTGCTGACTGACAGCCTCTCGTCCATGCAGGTGTGCAGGGCCTGCACGGCGGACCCTGCTCCCGGCCCTGCTGCGACCCCCATTTTGCGGGGGAGGGGTGCCCAAGTGCAGAGCCTGAGCTGGTGGCACATCACTGTCGAGTGAGCGGGTCCTGCGCTGCACACATCAGGTCTGTCGGTTCAACCCACGTGCACTCCTCGTTGTCACTGCCACTGCCCAGCCTTGGCAGCCCGTGGGGGACAGAGCAGCGTGTTCTGCTCCCTTCAGGACCCACAGCACATGGAGAGGTGCCTGCCACACGACAGGACTCCCTGCAGTATCTGTGAGTGAGTGACGAGCGAGCAAGCACTGGCATCTCAGCCACACCAGGCTGTGGGGACCAAGCTTCCTGGATCTGAGACGAAGCTCCACGCAGAAGAGGGTGTGTTCCCGGGGAGAGAGCGACCAGGCGGGGCTTCCCCCCTTGTCCCCTGTGTATCTGAGTCTGTGTCATCACATGGCATCACGAGGAAGCCAGATTCAGAAGCCAGACTGGTTACAAAGCCCCTGCTATCAGGGACTTGGGGAGCTACTTTCCCTCTCCACACTTCAGCACCCCAAGGCCATAGTGCTGAAGATGACCTAGAGGTCAGAAAACCACTGTCACCATCATCACCATCATCACCACCGTCACCCCCACCATCACCACCATCACCACCACCATCACCGTCATCACCTGTGTCTGTATCACTATCATAAAAATCATCGACTATTATTATTCCTATCACTTTTAGCTATTAATTGATGTAAGTCACTCCAGAAAGATACTGTAGACTGTATAGACCATGGCTTCTTTAATGGAGTTCATTATATTTTCCTATCTGTTCTAATGGCAGAAAGAAATATGTGTTTATACTTGGGTTAAAAATGTTTCAAGTCCGATTTTCTGAGGTCTTGTTTATGACCATTAGTCATACAATTAGCCCTATCTTTATTCATACCCTTCGAAGGGGGAAAAAGGGAGATTTGAGACAGAAGACAACGTGACCACGGTTGACAGTGGTGGCCTTAAAGACAGAAGAAGGACCAAGAGCAGGGCACGCAAGGCATGCAGCTCTAACATGCCAAAGACAAGGGACGCGTTCTCTTCTATAGCCTCTGGACCCAACTCAGTCCTCCTAACACACTGATTTTGACCCAGTGAAACTGATTTTGGACCTCTGACCTCCAAGGCTGTAAGAAAATGTGTGTGTGTGATTCTCTGCTGAAGCAGCTATAAGAAACTGATGTTTTATATGAATAAACAAATAAAGAAGATAAAGATAAGCCAGAAAAAGAGTAGAGGTTTGAGAGGGAAGTTAAGGGTAAATGAAATTTAATTACACACTCGTCGCCTCCCCCCGCTTTAGTGGGCCAGGCTCTGTGCTGGTTACTTTACATGGATTAGGTTTCAACCTCACTACAATCATATGAGAAAGGTGATGATACTACTATCATCATCATCACCACCACCATCATCATCATCACCACCATCATCACCACCATCATCATCATCACCACCACCATCATCATCATCATCACCATCACTGTCGTCTTCACTAGAGGCTCCAATCCCCCTGCTGGGGGCATTGCAGGACTGAGCAGGGAGCTGCTCCGTCCCCACTCAGCAGAAGCAGGTGACTCTCAGATACTCCTGCTGGGATACTGTTGGTGGGGTCCAGGGCTGAGTTGAGTCCCCAGCCCCGTCTGACAATAAAAGGACTGAATGAGGTTGTGTGAGCCAGGTCTCATCAGCACTGCTTCCCCTGCCCCCACCCCTGGTGTCTGAGGGATCTGGGGGGGACCTGAACCTCCAGCCTCACCCAGCATTAGCGAGACAGAAGGCAGTGGGGGTGGGAGAGCTAACTGATGCTCCCCCTTGCCAGGCGTCCGTCAGGCCCAGTGGGGAGCTGAACCTCTGCTCTACCCATGTGCAGCAAGGCCACGTGAGCCAGCGCCCACGTTTCTGGGGTGGTATCAGCGGGGCCCATCAGAAAACTAAACAAACCCACCCATCCAGCCCTCATGCTGCACCTCAACAGAAGGACGTACTACGAAAAGAGGATGAAACAGGGCTCAGGGTCTCAGGATATTCAAAATGTCCAGAGCACGATAGAAAATTGCTCATGACACCGAGAACCAGAAACATCACAAACCGAATGGGAACAGGCAATCCACAGATGTGAGTGTTGGAGCAGACCGAGATGATTCAGATGTTGGAATTATCTGGGCAAGGGTTTGAAAGCAGCCATCGTAAAAAATGTTTTAGCAAGCAATTACAATTTCCCTGGAAACAAACGCAAAAATGGAAAATCTCGGCAAAGAATTCAAAGTTATAAAAAGAGAACTAAATGGAAATGATCAAACTGAAAAATACAACAGAAATTTTAAAAATGGGCTGGAGGGGCCTCAAGAGTAGAGCGAGATGACAGCATAGAATCGGTGATTTGCAGGACCGAGGACGAGAACAGCAGAGAAAATAAACCGAAAAATGGTGAACGGATCTTCAGGAGCCCGTGGGACCGTAGTAAACTTGAGAACTTTTGTGTCTTCAGAGACTCAGGAGGAGAGAAAAGAGGGCGGGGCTGAAAAGGCGTTAAAAAAAAAAATAGCAGAAAACTGCCGAAATTTGGCAAAGACATAAATCTACAGATTCTGGATCAATCCCAAGTCAGATAAATCAAAGGCATCCATGCCAAGACACATAATTACACTTCTGGAAACTAAAGACAGTGGAAAACTCTTGAAAGCAACCCGAGAGAAATGACACATTACCCGGCACGGAGCAGGTGATTTCTGATCTGGAGCCCCAGAGGCTGCGCAGAAGGGACCGGCACAGCGTTCTCCAACTGCTGAAAAAAAAGTCGATCGTAAATTCTATATCCAGCCCAAGTATCCTCAGGAATGAAGGGGAGATAAAGACATTCTCAGATGACAGCAAACCGGAGAGATCTGTCGCTCGCAGCCTATTCTCAAAAAACAGCTGAAGGAAGTTTCTAAGCAGAAAGGAAATGATAGATCGCAGAACGGAAAGAGGGGGAGCTTGGGCTGGGAAGGACAGGGGGAGCCGTGTTAGAACGTTCTTCCTGTGAGCTTCCTAAGTCACCTGATGGTTGAAGGAGGAGTCTTAATGCCATCTGAGATTGTGCTTGATGTACAGAGGGAACCCTGAAGACAATTCTATTTTAAAAGCTGGGAGGGCAAAGGGACTTAAGCAGAAGTCAGGTTTCTACCCTTCACTCCGAGTGGTGACAGACGTGTCGGCACCAGTGAACTGTGGTCGCAAAGAGCTCATACAAAGCACTAAACTCGAAACCCCGTGAAAAGATCGAGATGGAATTCTCGAAGATGTTCGAGTAACCCACCGGAAGGTGCGAAGAGAGAAACAGGAACGAGAAGCAGAGAAAACAAACAAACGATGAAACGTCGGACTTAAGACAGAACACATCGCTTTCAGCGTCAACCGTCCGAATACACCGATTAAAAGACAGATACGGGCACCGCGGATGAAAAATACGACTCTTCTGTCTTCTCGTACACCGTGTGCTCATCCCACATACGACGCAGGTGGTTTGGAAGGAAGAGGACGGGAAAACACACACTTTGCAAACGCTCAATGCGCACAGACACACACCGGTCTAGACAGATGGGCTCGTTTCGTTCGGGATGTATTTGAGGATTGTTCTTGAGACTCCGCCCTCCCTCTTCCCTGCCCCCTGCATTTCCGTTCCTTCCCTCCTCCCCGGCCAACCCCTCTCTACCTTTCTGTGCTTTGCTCCATGAGTTACAACCCTAGGGAAACAAACATTCACTTATCTAAGAACACACGACGGCGTGCGGACATACGCGGGGAAGGGCCGTCGTTTTCTTTACCAAAAAAAAAAAAGGGGGGGTCATTTCAAAAGACTTCTCTGTGTTTCCACTTCTCTCCCAGTAATATCTGGGGGGAACTCCACTAAATCAACGTAGAAAAATTCCCCTTCGCATAATGGATCCGACCGTTACTTCATTGACGGTCACTAACTCTGTCTCTGGTATTTTACCCCGAACACGGCCGTGAACATCTTTGATGGTAAAAGTAACAGAAAGGTCCCAGCAATCGAGGAGATTGCTGTCGATTCGAGGGGAGCTGTTGATTCTTACCCGCTTCCCTGGAGAAGCTGCAGCAGGCGGCGATGTCTCTCCGGCCCGCCCCCATCGGGCCGGGCCGAGGGCGCCGTCCTGCTCAGCTGGCCGGCAGAGTCCTGCGGGGTCGGGGTCCACCCAGCCGCAGCTTTGACCCTCAAAACAGGGCAGCGTTCCGGCTTGTCCCTGACCCTGCCTCCGATCCACCTCAAACACGTTTAAAGGCAGACTCCAGGGCCCTGCCCGTTGGAGCCCCGGGCACGAGGCCCCGGACCCTGCTTTTGGTCCAAACTTTCAGATGGACACAGCCTAAACTCATAACCAGGGCTTTCTTGGGGGGTGGAGGGGGATGGGGGACGGGACTCCTTAAAAGAGATTCACCGCCAAGGTCAAGGCCTCCGAGAACGAACAGAGCTGATGCGGCCAAGGACAGACTGCATCATTTTGTCTTTTTATTGTGCTCCCCCGGCACCGAGCGGCGAGCTCACAGCCCCCGGGGCTTCCGGGCGCGGGGCCCTCAGAAGCATCTTCGCTGAACCACGGCCGTCCCAAACTCCTTGAAATCTGCAGCGGTGACCCACATCTGCTTGAAGCTGCTCAAGGAGGTGACGATGGAGGCACCGATCCACGTGGAGAACCAGCGGTCGGGGGGAGCCGTGATCTTGATGGGGGTCCCCTTGGAAGCCAGCTGCTCCAGCTCCCTCAGGAGCCGGTCGTCAAGGCCCTGGAACAGGGAGCTGCCCCCAGACAGCACGATCTCCCCGAAGAGCGTGTTCTGGATGTCGGCGTCGCACTTGGTGATGCTGTAGGAGACGGTCTTGGAGAGGCCCGGGCTGTGGATGCCCAGCAGCTCGGGCCTGAACAGGGCCTCGGGCGCCTGGAACAGCTGGTCGCCGATGCGGATCACGGTCCCGTCCGGCAGCTTGTAGTCCCTGAGCAGCAGCTCCGGCCTCCGGGAAAGCTCCTTCTCCGGCTCCACGGCCACGTAGCACAGCTTCTCCTTGATGTCGTCCACCAGGGCCTTGTCCGGCGTGCACGGGAAAGCCCGCCCACCGGCCAGCAGCAGCCGCGTGAGGTGCTCCGTGATGTCCCTCCCCGCCACGTAGAGCTTGGTGACCGCGTGGGGCAGGGAGTACCCCTCGAAGATGGGCACGGTGCAAGTGACCCCGTCCCCGCTGTCCACCACCAGGCCCGTGACGCAGGCCGAGGCGTAGAGGGCCAGCACGGCCTGGTCCGACAGGTAGAAGGCGGGCACGTGGAAGCTCTCGAACATCACCTCAGCCATCTTCTCCCGGGCCTCCCTGGGGTTCAGGGAGGGCTCGGTCATGAGCACGGGCCGGTCGCTGGCCTTCACGCCCAGCTCCCACTCGAACAGGTGCTTCCAGAGCTTCTCCATGTCGTCCCACCGGACGATCAGGCCCCGCTCGATGGGGCTCTGCAGGTGCAAGACCTCGGACTCGTGCAGGGCGGCATCCCCCACGTAGTACGACTTCCGGTTGGCCCCCGCCGAAGGCCCCTTGAGTTTCGGGTGCCCCACCACGGAGCTGATGACGTGGCGAGGGCCGATCTCCCCGGACAGGCCTGCTTTGCAGAGGCCCGACCCGTTGTCAAAAATCACGGCCGGAGAATCTAACACGAGTGGGTTAAACATGCCTGCAGCGTCCCTCTCCGGCGTCGGCCAAATGAAGACAGAACCCTCTCGGCCACTGTGACACGAGAGGTCCCTCTGGAAGTTTTCAGGGCACGGGATTCCACGCTCCTCGGGGGGGTCTCCCGGGAGGGCTAGCAGACGGCGGGTCCACGAGGGCCCTCCATCCTCACCCACAGATCTGCTCCTGCAGTGGCCCGGGCTGCTCGGGCCTCGCCCATGGTGACGCCGCCTATGTAACAATCCAGCCAGGGATTGTGATGCTCCGCCTGCATCACGGCCTCTGGGGGGGCGAGGCTCGCAGCCCCCGACTCCCTGCCTGCTCAGACACCTAGTGCAAGAGGCCAAGCCGTACCCACAGGCGGCGTTACCAGCGGGCTGTGCTCCTGAGGCCGAGCCTTAGAACCAAGTGAAGCAGCCCGGCTTGGGCCTACCCAGAGAACTAGTGTCTCTGGCCCACTGAGCTGTCATTCGTGGAGGCGACAAGAATGCACTTCCTTTGCTAAGGAGTGACCAGGCACAAGGCACGGGTCCAGGTTAGAGAGGCAATGCCCACAGCCCCATCACAGCAGGCACGTAGAACATCTGTTTTGAATTCAGACTCCTCCAGGAAGCCCTCAGAGATCTCTCCTCCCTCACCCCGGAGCCCTGGTTCTCTGTCTCACCGAGTAGATAGAATAAGCGAAGACCTCTGGGCCCTGCCGGCTCTCTGCAGGAGTGCATGTCCCTGCCATGGCTTGAAGTCAGGGCCCCTCATTGCTCTCTGCAGCCCCGGGAGCTCTGTCTCAGAGCTGCACCTAGTAGTCGATGGGGTCAGGAACAAAGTGGCCCTGATTCGAGCTGGGACGTCTCTGTCCCACAGCCTGAGCTTCTGAGTCCAGCCTCCAGAGAACCCGTGCCCACCAAACAAGTACTCACACTGGACTTTCGAGGAGGAAGCCAGGGGCAAGGTGGGCCATGGCCAGGCCTGGGAACCAAGGCTCACTGTACTGTCTTCTCGGGGAGGGTGGGCGTCTTGGTGAGCACGATGCTCATCTGATGGTGTTCCTCCCCCTAGTCCAGCTCCTTCCCCAGCCCAGAAAGCTCTCCCAGAGGACACAGGGCCTCACTGCGTGCTCTGCCAACCCACCAGCAAAAAGTTCATAAGTGCTAGTCATGCAGTGTAGACTCGTGGTGTAGACATGCGCTACAGATGTGAGGCTTCAGGGGCACCCACCGGGCTGAGCTCTGGGTGGGAGTCAGTAAAAACGTCATGTGTTCAGACGTTTTCCCCAAGGACACCTCCAGACAGAAACGGAATAAAACGTGTGGCATACTCGGGACCCCTGTCAGCTCCCACCACGAGGCTTCTGAGATCTGGGGTCCAACATTTGGGGGAGTGTGTGTCCCCGGCGAGCTGCTGTGGGAGCAGGGTGGCCAGCGGGACGCTGTGACTTGGGGTCCAGCCTGGGGACACCACAGCTGGCCTGCGCACTCGGTTCTCGGAGGGGGCTAAGATTTTCTCATTGTTGTGTGGCACTCGGGGATGAATCGGGAGGCGCCTGCCCTCCAGCCTCTGGATTCTGGCCCCACAAGTGGCCCACGTGGGGGCCGAAGACTGCATGTCAGTCTTGAATGCCGGGTCAGGCCCCACAGGTGTGTCCCCGTGGCCCGGCGCTGGCCGGGGCATTTGGCATTCGCAGGAGGGACAGAGGGGAAGGACAAACACTCGGGCAGAGCTCAGACTGGCCACTTGGGTGTGGGGTGGGCTGAGGCCAGTCGGCACCTCGTAGCTGAAACAACACACAATAACGGGGTCCCAGGGGGCAGCTGCCTGTGACCTTTGTGCAGGCCACACAGGCAGATCCCAGCTTCCCGCAGCTTCCCTGCCCCCAGGCCCGGCTTCCAAGTTCGTTGGCCTCCAAGTTCGGTCTGGGGCTCTTCCACCTGTTGCCAAACCTACACCTTGGCCATTCGCTGTCCGTCTGTGACCCCTGCCAGCCCCGGACATCACGGACCCTCCAGGACAGAGCTGCGAGGTCCGGGCCAGCTATCAGGGCGGCGGCTTGGCGCGAAGCCCTTGAGCATTTCTAGGGCTCCTTTTCCTAAACGTCATTACTCCCTGCTGAGCCTGGGAGACGGGCTGCCCTTTGTCCCCGATCTGGCACCCCAGCCTGCCCCCCAGCCCAGGACATTGGTGGCCACCGCGTGCAGCGTGCCCGGCACAGTGGCCCCGGGAAGGAGTCACCTCCACGTGGGACGCAGGGTCCCCAGCCAGGAGCTCACGCTCCCTGCTGCACACTCAGGGACAGAAGGCGGGCAGCGGCCAGCTCCTCCATGGTCATCTTTGCTGGGTTTGTCATCGGAGCCAGCCCAGGCTCAGCGATGGCTTGTCCCCTCATTAAGCGTCTAATCCAGCTGACAGATTGTCCTCTGCATAGAGAAGAGCAGGAAGGGTCTGAGACCTCGCCACCAAGAGGTGGGGTATTCTCGGTGGGTGACACCACGTGGCCACTGAGAGGGCCCCGTGGGTTTATGAGCCCTGGCCTACGGGAGGCTATATGGGTTTCAAACACCGCCAGGCAGAAATCCCAGCCCTGGCTCTCAGGTGGCCAGGACCTGCTCCCCTCCCCGTCCCCAGGCCACTGTCCCCCCGGAAACACCTCCGCCCCGACCACCGGGTCCACGTCAACGCCCACAGCTGTCCTCACCACCTTGTCAGGCGCAACAGAAACACAGCGTGGCTGGGCATTCGCCGTGAAGGTTGTCTGCCAAGGACGTCGTCCGTGTCCGACTCCAGCCAGAAGCCACCGGTCGGCGGCGGCCCCGCCCCCACCCCGGGCGGCCATGCCTCGTAAATCGCTTGAGCGAGTTTATGGGCGAACTGGCTGTAACTCCATCTACCTCCGCAGGGCAAGGCTCGCCACCGCGATTATTCTGGGGCTGTCCGCTTCGTCCCCTACAGGAGGGCCGGCTCTAGCCTCTGCTCAGGCTGTCGCCAGTGGCGACCCTCTGCGGCCCGGCTAGGCCCTCGGAGGGGCCCAGACCTGGAGGTGGACAGCCGCTGGCAAGCCTGGGGATGCTGTCAGCATTTAGGCTTCGGAGCGGACCGCCCTGCTTCCCACTGCCCTGGTTCTACGTCACTGGGCCACCCAAGCCTGGGCTGGGGGCCGCCCTGTCTGTCCCTTTGTCCCTGGTTCCATCTGTCACTGGCGCCCAGACCCTCAGCCAATTAGTGACCAGCAGCCCAGGCTCATTAGTGCTGGCTGACATCTGGCGGCCAGATCCAGTGTCGGGCGGCAGCCTGAGTGAACAGGGTGCCTCCGAAGATGGCACCGCTCTTGCAAGAAAGAGAACACGTACATGTCCAAGGCAGCTGTACCAGTGCAGGGGCCGTGGCGTGTGCGGAGGCCCCCGCCACGTCTTCCCTTCCTCCTCTCCGCCCGGCGTCCCTGGAGGAGCCCAGAGCCCTGCGCACTCTTCCTGGTACCAGCCTCTTAAATCTCTGAGATGGAACTTGTCCACCTGCCTGCCCACCAAGCCACCCATCCACCATCCATCCACCCATCCACCCATCCTCTTAAATCTCGGATGGAACTTGTCTACCTGCCTGCCCACCAAGCCACCCATCCACCATCCGCCCATCCACCATCCGCCCATCCACCATCCATCCACCCATCCACCTATCCACCCATCCACCCATCCACCATCCATCCCCCCATCCACCCATCCACCATCCACCCATCCACCATCCATCCACCCATCTACCATCCATCCACCCATCCACCATCCATCCACCCATCTACCATCCATCCACCCATCCACCATCCATCCACCCATCTACCATCCATCCACCCATCCACCATCCATCCACCCATCTACCATCCATCCACCCATCCACCATCCATCCACCCATCTACCATCCATCCACCCATCCACCATCCATCCACCCATCTACCATCCATCCACCCATCCACCATCCATCCACCCATCTACCATCCATCCACCCATCCACCATCCATCCACCCATCTACCATCCATCCACCCATCCACCATCCATCCACCCATCTACCATCCATCCACCCATCCACCATCCATCCACCCATCTACCATCCATCCACCCATCCACCATCCATCCACCCATCTACCATCCATCCACCCATCCACCATCCATCCACCCATCTACCATCCATCCACCCATCCACCATCCATCCACCCATCTACCATCCATCCACCCATCCACCATCCATCCACCCATCTACCATCCATCCACCCATCCACCATCCATCCACCCATCTACCATCCATCCACCCATCCACCATCCATCCACCCATCTACCATCCATCCACCCATCCACCATCCATCCACCCATCTACCATCCATCCACCCATCCACCATCCATCCACCCATCTACCATCCATCCACCCATCCACCATCCATCCACCCATCTACCATCCATCCACCCATCCACCATCCATCCACCCATCTACCATCCATCCACCCATCCACCATCCATCCACCCATCTACCATCCATCCACCCATCCACCATCCATCCACCCATCTACCATCCATCCACCCATCCACCATCCATCCACCCATCTACCATCCATCCACCCATCCACCATCCATCCACCCATCTACCATCCATCCACCCATCCACCATCCATCCACCCATCTACCATCCATCCACCCATCCACCATCCATCCACCCATCTACCATCCATCCACCCATCCACCATCCATCCACCCATCTACCATCCATCCACCCATCCACCATCCATCCACCCATCTACCATCCATCCACCCATCCACCATCCATCCACCCATCTACCATCCATCCACCCATCCACCATCCATCCACCCATCCACCCATCCACCCATCCACCCCTCCACCATCCGCCCATCCACCACCCATCCACCATCCACCATCCACCATCCGCCCGCCCATCCAGCCTCCTGGTCAGTTATGTTCCCTCCCTTCCTCATCCCTCCCTTCCATCCACCTTTCCTCTCTTCGTGGCTG